CTTTGCAACCTAAAGAAATACCGTGATCTCAATATTTTTAATGTTAAAGAATTTAGTTACTAAAAAGTGTCTATTCATTATTTATTTTCTTATATCTAAGCTAGCCACATAATTTAAGGAGATTCAGCTCATATTTAGATCTTAAAGAAGATCTTGGGTATTAAGTGTCTACAGAAATTTTGCTTTACTTCTGAGAGGGTAGGAATTCTCAGTGGTAGAGTGCCTGTTGCTTTGCATTGCAATCAGATTATCATAAAATCATATTCTTCTTGAGAGACAGGTTGCTGGGGGGGTGTCTCAGTGAGTTTGGTCCATATATATGTCTTATTGGACATATAAGAATGCAAAACTATGGCAGTTTTTTTATTTTCATTTTTTTCAAGACCAAGGCCATTTCTTCAGGATGGGTTTCCAACAAGCAACTTTAAAGGTTGGAATAAAGTGTCCCTCTGGAAAAGGAGGAAGGTTGCTTCCTACTTCCTGTAAGAATGATAGATTCCCAAAATTCACATTTGTTCACTGGATAAAGAATGCTATGTCCAAGTTAAACCATTTGGGCCCAAATCACATCACACTCATGTTAACAACACCTGAAATCTCTAACTTAACAGTTCAACACCGTTTCTAGAGAAGAGAAATGCAAAGTTCAATTTGGCATGCCAGGAGAATGCCCTTCACGGCATTTCTAGCATCTGCTGGCCTGTGGAAAAGGATCTTCTCCACTAGCACCTCACTTTTCCAGAATGACTCTGAGCTTGATATGGGAGGTTCCAACAAGAGCAGGCCTCTGAAGAGGGAGGGAATCAAGTTCTCTAACCAGAGGTTGAAAGAGTGTGTACGGTGATAAAGAGTTTGGAAAATGTTTTGTGAAGCGGATGAGTAGACAGAAAGGAATGCCTGGGGCCTCCTGCCAATATAGCCTGTACCTCTTAATCAACTTCCCATCTTACGTTCCTTCTAGTTCTGTGCTAATTCCTGATCATTTTCTATCCATTGTCCCAGCCTACTGCTTCCATTAAAACTCTGCTGACCTTGGTCACCATAGAATATATAAAACATAATTTCATCTTTTTTTCACAGCCTTTTATCCCAATAACTCAACAATATAATTCTAAAATCTTAAAACCAGAGTGGCAACTGTTCATAAACTTTTCAGACTACGATGGGGGAACAGTGAGGATAGCACAGATTTACAGACCGCTTGTTTTCAAGTCCTTGGTTTAACATCTGGTAATATTCAATTGCCTTTAAGGAAAGATAAGCATGCTTTGTCAAGCCAATTTTGTAATTCCAAGATTTCCATTTATTACTAAACTACATAGAGAATTTCTACACTGAAATGAGAGGTCATGTTCATTTTTTTCCATCACGACCAGAGCCAAAAACAAACTGGACTTCTTGAAAACATACATGAGGTTTCTAAGAGTTAAACAGATTTACCAGCAAAAGGAAGGAAGATTGAGATTATAATATGAATCAGGCACAGTGTTTCATAACAGAAAATGTGGCACTTAATGCAGTTTGCAGAAGATGGTATGCTAAAAACGCTACTTATGGCAGGCAGAAGCAGGCCCCAGAGAATGAAACTCGCCAAACAGAAGAATTCAAAATAGGTAGGAAAAAAGTAGCCATGTCAGCATTACAAAGCCACAAAAGACTGATAGAATTTTTTCTAAATTACAACTTTTTCACTATACTTTTGGCTTAAAAGCACACAATAAAAAAAAAATCAAGGGGTACATTTTAAATTAAGACTATATAGACACCAATCTGTGTGTATCTTCATTGCATGAGATGTGAGTCTGAAAAACATATGCACTGCTGAGCTCAACCTAGTTACTAACACAGAAGGCTGTGTGAGTGGATCAAAGTCTCCGCTACAGCTCCTTCTGGAACAGATTTATTTGGGGGTTCCTGGGTGGCTTAGCCAGTTGATAGGACAGAGTGATGCTTCTTTACTTCAAATAAATAGTCAAAACCTCTATGGAAAAACTCATACTGAAAAGGTTTGGCTTGGTTTCTGATGTGCTGGCCAAGTAAAAATTGCACCAAAACCACAATACAGGTTGGATAAAAAATTATTCTAATGTCTTTAGGTCTCTTGTGTTAAACATAGAGTATATGAATCTTTCTTTTATAATTCTGTCAGTTCTAAATTCTGAAAGCAGACTAGCCAATAAATAGTGTGAGCAATAAAAGCTAACACTCATCAGTACAGTACATTCATTTTTTAATATTTTATTATTTTTATTTTATGTGTATGAGTGTATTGCATGTATGTGAGTGCACCCGTGTCTTGCAATGCCTTGGAGGTCAGAAGAGGGCTTCAGATTCCCCTGGAACTGGAGTTAAGGACAGTTCGTAGCCGCCATGTGGGTGCTGGGAATCGAACCCAGGTCGTCTGCAAGAGCAGTCAGTGCTCTTAACCGCTGAGCCATCTCTCCAGCCCCTGTACAATACATTCTTATCTCACACATTCCCTAGTTCTTCAGTGTTAACTGAGACTTTGTCAGCAAACTACTCAAAAATCAGAGTGCAAAATCAGAACTCATATGTTCTTCTACATCAAATAACTAATAAAAGATGTTTGGCTTGCAGGCCAACATGTAACTAATTGAAATATGTTTGGAGGTTACAATACGGGTCAGTGGCATAGAAAGATGATTGTCGGCATTCAGATGCTCATTACTCATAGAGTCTAAAAGAAGAAAGACTGCCTCTGGCTTCTAAATACGATGCCTACATATAAAAGCCTGGGATTAGAAGAGCCTCTCTATTACTTGCCTGCAACTCTAACTCAGAATAATTCTGTTTTTCACATATCATCTCATGTTTCTGAAAAGCTGGCTCCCATGCCTACTTTCAGTCTTCTCTTTAGTGTAGTGAATCATTCCAATCCTTAAACCATTTTTCTAACTATGACATGGCTTCTTTTTTGTGGGGGAGGGTATGGGAAGAATAGGGTGGGTATGAAGGACTGAACTTAGGGCCCATGTGCATGCCAGGCAAGCGCTCTACCATGAGTCACACCTCCAGATCCCTATGACGTGGTTTCTGGGTACTTTTCCCACCCTATATTCCTCGGCATTTCTTCAAGCTTGAGATGATGTAATTGCATACATGCAACTTACATTGTGATAATATTTTTTACAATTGTGACATACAATTGCTTTAAAGATCTAAGGTAACTTCAAATATTTTCTATTGTTAGTTTCATTTGGGAATATTACACAAAATTGCAGAACAAAAGAAAAGGAAGAAAGAATGGAGGAACAATGCTAACAACCAGTGATAGCATTTTTATTTAGAGAAACTATATAAGCTTTGCTTTAACAACTGTACATTTGTGGGGTTTTTTTGTTTTTGTTTTTTTTCTTTTTTTCTTTTTTGGTCTTTTTGAGACAGGGTCTCCCTGTAACCCCAGCTGTCCTGGAACTCACTATGTAGACCAGGCTGGCCTTGAACTCACAGAGATCCGCCTGCCTCTGCCTCCCGAGTGCTGGGATTAAAGGCGTGCGCCACCACGCCCAGCACATTTGTGTTTTTTAAGATTTATTTTTATTTATGTGTATATGAGTATGTCTATGTCTATGTGAGTGAATGTCATTTGTGATCCCAGGAGCCTCCATGTGGGAACTGACTCGGGTCCTCTCAAAAACAAGTGCTCTTAACTGCTGAGCCATCTCTCTAGTCCCTAAATTGATTATTTAACTTGATTAAATATTAAGAGCTTGATGTTCAAGTACTTTTGAATACATAGCTAGGTATATTTTAATTATGTTGAAAGACAACAAGAGTTTCATGGAAAATGCTGTAACTGGCTTTAGGGACAAATCTTAGGAAACTAAGTGATTTATAAGGTATAAGAAATCCCCACATGTTAAAAAATTTGAAGGTTTACAAAGATGGGAAACTTTCAAATAGCCACTAAGAGACAGAATTCCTCAAAACAGGAAGTCATCATTATGAAGCACTGAAAACCCTTCAAAAAGTAAAGGGCTGGGTGAGATGGCTCAGTAGGTTAAGGCATTTGCCACTATGCCTGACGAATTGAGTTCAATACCCAGAACCCATAGTGGAAAGAAAGAACTCACTTGGGCAAGTTGTCCTGATTTCCACATGGCTCTGATGCCCCTCCCCCAACTAAATAAAAATTTTAAAATAAATAAATGTAAAAAAGAGTCAAGAAAGAGCTAAATATGGGGCTGGAGAGATGGCTCAGCAGTTAAGAGCACTGGATGCTCTTGCAGAGGACCCGGGTTCAGTTCCCATCACCCACCTGGCAGCTAACTCCATCCCTAACTCCAGTTCCAGAAGACATGACGCCCTCTTCTGACCTTTGAAGGCACTGCATGAACACGGGTGCACTTACATGCATGAAGGCAATACACTTATACACATAAAATAAAAATAAATAAATAAATTATTTTTTTAAAGGAAAGAGCTAGGGGCTGGAAAGATGGCTCAGTAGTTAAGAGCACTGACTGTTCTTGCAGAAGACCCAGTTCGAATCCCAGCATCCACATGGCAGCTAACAACCATCTGTAACTTCAGTTCCAGGGGACCTGACACCCTCTTCCATCCTCCATGATCATTGCAGGACATGGGTACATTTATACACATGCAGGCAATACACTCATACACATAATTAAAATAATAATCAAAAGGAGAGAGCTAAATATAAAACCTGCTTAAAAAGTAATCACAAGCTCTTATCAGGGGAGCTGCTAAGAACAATTTTGATCAGCAATTATGAAAGAACCTTTAACTTATTAGCAGATAGTTCAGTTTTGTGCTTGAGAAACAAGATGAAGGAGTTCTAAAGACAAAGAGAAGGGACATATACTTCACTTTTCTTTAAAATCTTTTCCATCAAAGTCTTGATGTACAATGTGACACACTTTTATTTCTTGTAATGAAACAAACTTTTAAAAAAACAATAAAAGCAAAAGGAAATTTTGTTTTGTTTTTAAGAAGTCAGGCATTAAAAAAGTACTTACATCTGAACTCACACTTCTTGTGGTACTTTGCAGGACAGGTTTAGTCACAGAAAGTTTTCCATTGACTGGGCTGTTCACCACAGGGGCTGGCACCACATTCACCACATGATTAGGTAGTTGTGTGGTTCCTCCAGTAACAGCAAGAACAGGCTGAGCAGAAGGCAAAACTCCAGGGGCCTGAAGTTGTACCATAGTAGGCTGAGAGAGCAAAACTGTCTGACCTGGGTTAGAAGAAAAGAAAAGGAATCAAATGGTACAGAGCTAGTGCATCAGGGCAGCAGTCTAACATGCTGTGTCTTCTGCAATATAACTTGTAGACACTAATGGGAACTCTGATGTTGTGTTTTTTTGTTTTTTTGTGGGGTTTTAGTGTGTATTTATTGTACAAATAATGGGCTTCACAATGACATTTTTTTAAAACTATTTCATGTACTTTATTCACTCTTCATTACCTTCTATTGCCTACTCCCCTTCCTGCTGGTCCCATTCCTCTTTCCAAATAATTCCCTTCCTATCTTTATATAAGCTTATGTGTGCATGTGTGTGCATGTGCGTGTGTGTGTGTGTGTGTGTGTGTGTGTGTGCATGCAGGTGTGTATGCTTTGTGTTCACAATACCGCCGGGTTGAATGTCTTCACACAGATGGAACTGGTAAAAGAAAGGAGCCAGGGGCTCCTCCCAAGCTCATGTGACCCCTGAGGAACAGATCCTCAAATGACCTTAAGAGTAAAAATAAATTGGTTTATCTGGGCCAACAGTATGGTCTTAAACACCCAAAAGGAAAGTATAACCAAAGATTAAAGTGATCAGTATAATTCTTTAAGAGTCCATGTGCATAGCTAAAGGCTACATAACAAGAAATAATGCCAGACAGGAGATCCCTTCCTTTGAGCTGTTGGCCAGGTGGCCCAAGAGACTCCCAGATAGTAACCCAGCATAGAACTGGGAAAATGAACAGCAGACCCCAATATTATCTAAATATTATCTAGATGAGGAAGAGCTGATCTTCCTAAAACAAGGAACTCTATAGATAGGCTGACTACACTCAGCGTATGAACTTGCACTGGATAATGGCTGGGGGCACTGATAACACAGTGGACAGTAACAGGGATTTCAGAGTATATGGGCTCCAGTAGGGAGGGGGAGAGGCTATAGGAGGGTGCCAGTTGGGACGTGGGTATAAAGATGAATAGGATTTTTTGAGATGTTCTGGATGAAATACACACAAAAAATCTATAAATAAAAAATAATTTAAAAAGCATGCACTAATATAAAAAATAAGTTAAACCAATGATAAAAGAAGTTTGTATTATTTCTTTCTAAGTAAAT